AGTCGTAGTCTTAGTCGTCGTCGTCGTCGTCGTCGTCGTCGTCGTCGTAGTAGTAGTAGTAGTAGTAGTATTAGTAGTAGTAGTAGTAGTAGGAGGAGGAGGAGGAGGACGAGGAGTGGGACGAGTAGGAGGAGGAAGTATCCGAGTCATCAGGATTGTGTTTTAGAGCCTGGATGATTCAACATGCCCCCCTGCACAGTTGTTTTGTTCTAGTAGCTGAATCTTCCATGAAAATTTCAAGATTCGCGGCTACGTGTTTAGACTGACCACGCATGAAAATCAATCCTGTACCCATGTTTTGACATAAGCTGTCAAGACGCACCCAGAATGCAAGTACATGCGAAGCATGAAATATCAAACTAAATCATTCGGATGCAATCGTGTAGATGGGGTCCTGGGGTTCTTTCTTCGAATGGGACCTTCACAAATTGGAAGAACATAGAAATTGTATGTGCTGTGTAGCTTCCCCGCAAACCCTCAACCCTAAACCCACACATTCCCTCAGCCCATTCACCTGCGTGCTCACGTACTAAATCAGAGGGAAGGCGAAGGATCAAAAAGTTCTCTGCTCGATTCCCTTGGTGGAGTCTGTATCGGCTCAGGCTTGTCTCGAACCTTCGGGCCCTTAAACCCTAAGCCCCGAAGCTTGGGGTCTTCAGACTGAGTGTCAAACCTGTTTCGGATATGTTGCAGGGACATGCCTTTTGAAACGGCTAGTTCATGGTGGCCCAGCTTGATACAAGTTCGAAGCTCCTGGCTACTCTTGGGATTTCCATACTTGGTCTTTTTCTGGGCCAAGGTTATCAATGACTTAGGCGCCAACATAGTTGTACCACCACTAAACCTCAACGGTATTCAACCTCGGAGCCTGCACTTCATAGGGTTTGGAGGTCTAGGGATTGGAGGGTAGCAACACTTGTCCCCATCCTTTTGAGTCCCTAACCACAAGGTAGAACAACTCTGGGCCGAGGCATACCTTTGATGGAGAGTGTCCTCAGCTACTGCTTGGGATACAAACGTGCTTCCTAACACGTTGCTTCAAACGGAGCCACCCTTTCTCATTTTTTCTTCAGCAGCAATTGTCAGCCTCGGCCTGCGCATGGCCATTGCTAAAGATAGTGATTCTGAGCTCATTCAGCACAAGTCTTTTTGATGAGCTGAGTTTGTGTTGAGGTAGGTGACTGCTGGGCCAGAACTCCACAGGAGGTTTGGCTGCATGGAAAGCATTAGGCCCACCAATACACTGTGAGCTTTGAGCTCTACAGGTGACGCTAGAATCCTGGCGTGAAGATCATGGCCCTCAATGCCCCCAAGCCCGACATTAAAAGCAAGCCATCCTTGCAACATCACGAAGCCTGCAATTTCAATAGCCAATCCTGCACGGTCAGGGGAACCATTAGCGTGACAGGCGGAAGACCCGCCGATGGAGCCTACCATCGTAGGCACCATGTGCCTACGTCCCTGGGTTCTGTAGAGTACTTTGGAAGAACAAATGGCGAGGTTGCGTGGGCTCGGCTTCAGATACCTGAGTTGTTGACGACGGTACCCTGGTTGTAGTATACTCAGATGGTAATGCTGCCCTTTCAGGCTTTTGCTGCTGCATAGTGACACTTTGGCATACCCAGGCGCCACATCGTGGATATACATATTTCCAGATTAACTAATGGACTTGACATAGGAGAGTAGGATCCTGACATAATCTCTGGATCAACCCTATAGCAGGTTTGAGCTCCCTAGACCCTAAATCCTAGTTGAACAATTATGTGGCCAGGCATGACGCGTTGAACAATTGCGGTATGAGGGTTTGGAACAGCTATCTCTATTTTCGATTTCCCAGGGTAGCCCTAGATGCAGAACCTGACCCCTTTACTATTTTGTTGGTTAGATTACTCAACAAATGATGCATGTTTCAGGTCTTTGTTGGTGCGGAGGAACATGTCTAGCCTAACGGGTTGTCCGCGACAGGACAGCAGGCTGATCATAGTTGCCAATATTGTTTCTTGAGACCTCTGTTGTATCTGTAGTGCAGTATGCGTACCCCAAAACTATTGAGTTTAGACAGACTCCTACTCGTACGTCACATCCTACATCTCAAGCTTTAAATACCTGAAGCTGCAGGGGTGGACAACCTGAGCACGTACATTGGGCAACCGCTGTTCCTCTCGAACCGGCCTCCTGGTACGCAAAGTCCATATGAGGCATGCCTCATCAGGTGCAAGGAAGGTATAGCCACCGCAAGTCCACTGTAGAGAGCTTACAACAATCCTTTTGATGTGACAGCTAGCTCTCTAGAGCTTCGAGCAAGGGTTTCGACAGGCTTGAACCGCAACCATGTATGATTTCCATATCCGGTCTGATGCAAATGTTTTCGGGGAATCAGCTCTGAAGGTGAGAAGCCAGGCAATGACTGGCCATATTCTTCACATCATGGTCTCCAGTGAAGAACCTTCTGTAGCAGCTTCTCCGGGTTTGAGGTCCGTTGGTTGCGGGAGCGTTGCAGAATGTTTCCCAACTATTCTTTTGCAGCTCGTACCTGGGGTCCTTGCGCATGGGGTCAGGCCTTGCTGGCAAGACTGACATGGTTACCATGGCAAAGCCGTTGGCAAACTGTATCCCAGCCAAGGGTGAAGATTAAATTTCATTTTCAAATTCCCTCATTCCTTGACTCATTGAGGCCCTAAGAGTGTGCTTGGCTTGAAGCATGCTTGCGTAGGAGGTTCTAAGTGAAGGATGAAAGCATTGCTTGACAGCAGCGAAGCTCGGGATGACAGCCCGCTTCATCCCTGGTCATCCTGCCAATGGTTCAGATTGTTTGTAAGACGATGTGAAGCGATCAAGTGTTCCGAGCACGAAGTTCGGGACTGATGTGTTTTGTGATTTCTCTGGTCCCTGCTTGTCAGTGGCCAACCGCTGTTTGGCAAGTGTTTTAGGGTGCTTAACGCTTCCAATCTAGTTGCCCATCCCGTGTTTCTCATGGTAGGGTTTCTGGTCTATTAGAGCTCTCGGTCGCACATGTTTGGGTTGCATCCGGGGGTGCACGCTATGGTCCATGGGGGCTGGCAGTGGCAAAGAATTCTGGTTCGGGTCCAATCACGTGAAGTCGTGATGCGTGCTCATGTGTCATACCACTCGGGCCGGCATACTCTTTCTGTGAGGATTCTTGTCGTGCGTCTTCACAGGACAAGGCGTTCAAGCCATTTTTGGTTATTGGATGCTTCTACTACTAGTATTATTCTACGACTATTGATAAACTTAGAACTTTCTTGTACCAGTGCTAATATACCACTTTCTGATATTGATCAGAACAGGTGATAGCATCACAGATATTCCCCCCTAATATTACATTCTCCCAATACATTATAACATAATGTATAATGGGAGTATTAGATATTAGGGGGGGGAAGGGGGGGATAATTTTAGGGGGAGGGGATCACTCCACACACCTGCCTGCTCTTCTTCCCGCCTGGCCACGGCCCAAGCCATCTCCCAGGTTCCGATATGGAGAGACCTCCTGTTCTACTGCTGATACAAAAAAGCCTGCAGGACCCTAGTATATTATCATATCATAATTCCCTAGGTTGAGGGTACTTAGGGTCAGGCAGGATTTTTAGTATCCACCGTAGTTTCTTGTGGGACGGAGCAGTTTGGGCCATCTTGAACTTCATTTCATTTTTGTGCCCTCCATGTGGTAGTTTCCTAAAATAGGGGGACCCCAATGTAGACCCCAAAATACTATAGTCCTTATTATTGGGACCCCCAAAAGGGTACCCCTAATTTTAGGAAACCCCAATGTGGCGCGTGCACCCAGGCTCTTCGAGGGCGACATGCCTCCTGGAGTCGCACCGGGCTTTGAAAGCTGTCTTTGTTGTATGGCCCCCTTAAGTAGATGGAATGTGGGGTATATGGGGATCTTTCTAGAATATACCCAAAGCCATATTCTATCGATTTAAGGGGAGACTAAAAGCATGGGGCTGTGTTCCATAGCCTGCAGAAAGATTGTTTCTGGAGACGGAGCTGCAGGCTTATATTACGTATGAGAGTTGCATGTGGAAGCACCTAATTATGCCAAGCGGTTGGCAGAGATGCGTGGTTGATCATCTGCACCTGTGGTGGATATAACCCTTCACTTCATTGGATCTGCAGTGACCATGACTGACTATGATACAACCTAGCTAGGCACATTCTTCGATAGAAAATGAGCGCATTCGTTCGATTTCTTTGAAGTACACCTTGGAAGAGCTAATGCACTCGACGTTCTAGCCTGGCTCACCATGAAAGCAGTGCAAAAGGTTTGTGGCGGTGCAGTGCAATGCTTCTCGTCATTTCGCTTGCTGCTGTTGTATACTGTCCCAGAACTGTTGGGATCTCTTGCCGTCCGGGCTCCAGTTTTGAGGTATTAAAAAGTATCTTACGATAAGGATCAAGCTTCAACATACACCTGACACCTACGCCATTCTATAGCAAGGCCATGGTTCTCGCTGAATCGTGTGCCCGCAAAACTAAGCAGAGATATGCGCAGTAGCAACATAGCATAAACTTCACCGTAGCCCTCACTACTTGTACCACCAGCAAGAAATTTCAATAACATCAGTCGCCACAATGGACGATCCCTTCGCTGTGTTGCGGATACCGGGCTTTACCGTCCGCAAGGCGCGCACATGCAATCTCGAGGGCAGCACAGCTTACTGGTGCTTACGGGGAGTGGGGAGGGAATATAGGGACTATTTCACGGGGAGACCTGCTCTCAAGCACCAGCAGCTGCACGTACTAGATGACACTTTGTTATGATTGGTAATTGCCCTTCTCATCCCAGGGAACCAACTCAGAAGTGTCAGAACCTTTGGGAGCCTTCAGAGGAGCACCCTGGACTGTTTTAGTGCCTCTGGCACGGCGTGCTCTTCAGAGCGCTTGACTTGCCTGAGTTGAGTCTTGGAAGTAGGTCCTCCGAGGAATTGCCCATGCTCGGGCTCCTTTGATTTCAAAGCCCTAGCACTTGCCACTCCCAATTGGATTGCTATCCTAAGGAAACCCAGCATTTACTATAGATGCATATTATAGTAATGTATGTTAGGTTCCTTAGCACCTATGAGACCCCAGCTTCCGTTTGACGTTCTATTTTCTTCTCCACCCATTTAAGCCCCTGCATAGTCCTTTCCCTATAATCAAACCCACCCCCTAATGATAAGTATTCCCCCTAATATATACACATATAAAAATGTGTTAGCACTATATTGGATGGTTGTGATGAGCCCAGAAAAGCCGATCCCCTGAGAGGAGTCAGATCTTCCCAAGCTCAAGGAGCGCGCGATGGGCCTGGTCCGACAATATGAGCCCCTGACTGGAGGGGTTTAGGGGTTTAGGGTTTAGGGGCTTCGTAGAAATAGTACTGGTTACTAGGAATGGTAATGGTGGAATTGAAACGACAATGGTAGCAGCAGTGTTTCTTACTACTGGCCCACATTTGCGACCCCAATAAGACCCTGGAAAATGAAATGGAAAGTGGGGCTATACAGTGCTCGTAAAACTGATTGAGGCAGCTTCCGGGGACGCTTGCATTCCATGCTGACTACTGCGGTCTAGTTATAGTTTCACTTCTGCTGCGGGGGCCTTAGCCACTGGGAATAGGTATCTCAGAAAGATAGTGGAGGGACCCTAAAAAGTCACCCTGGTTTATTGGAAGCCTTTAGGCTAAGGTGCATCTGGGATATGGGAGTTTCTCGAAATAGCCCTTGCTTCATTCCTCAGAGGAACACCTAGAATCTCCTTCGACTTCCCGTATATCCCTAGGGTCCCTTGCGATACACCATTTTGAGAACTTCCGTGTGGAGGCTTAATGTTAGCATCTTCCAAGGCTCGAGAACAAAGTGTGTTGGGATTCTCAGGCTTTTGCCAGGAAACCCCCATATTTTGCTATGGGTTCGTTCATATTATGGTAACTTCATGGAAGTTCTGCAACAGCAATCCAGGATCTTGGAGATGTAGGGAGGGTGACCTTCTGCTCAAGCCCAGACCTCCCGCGATTTGTGCCGGACGGTGTTTGGATCTATGCGCGAGCCCTGCCTAAGGAGAAGGTCAACAAGCATGACAAGGACCCGTGCATGTTCTTGAGCGTGCGGCTGATTTATGAATGTGTTCTGAATGTTACAGGTCTTCAACGTCAGGCAAAGATTTATAATTACACAGTGTGTGCTGTGGCTGAGGCAAGGCTCGGATAGCATAAGGAAAGGCCTTACAAACTCCTATAGAGCATGATCGGAGTTCTACAGCTGAAGGCTTGGCTCCGTCGAAATTATACGGGGGACTCTTGTGAAGAACGGTGTCCGAAGACCAGGACTAAGAACTTTCTTCTGCTGTTTTTTTGTGTTTAAGTTGGCAGGTGTCAAGGTCCCCAACAGGCTCACTGCGGAAATGAAGGATCTGTCCATCTTATTCTGGTTTCCTGGAACCGTCTGCGTCTGGTAGCCTCTGTCTGAGCTGAGAACAGGAAGTTGGGCTCTGGAAGTCAGGTATACGGGAGTATCGCAAAATGACGAATCTGTAGGACCCCTTAGTCCCAGGGTTTTCAGCTGGCCCCATATCTTGAGAAACCCCTACATGACTGGAAAAGAAAAGGATGCGCGCAGACTTGTTGAAATCTCAGTTTTCTGACTTTCCGGGAGGCACGAGAGGTGGAGAAAGCTTACCGTGTCGTCAAAGAAATGGTTATGAAGCGGGCCACTAGGCTGCAACACGCCTAGTTCAGTCCAGCACGTAACAGAGTCTAGCGCATAGCAGTATCTTTATGTTTTTGGCAGTTCGGCTGTTCTTGGATGATTCTTTCAGCTTTTTGTTCGTCCGCTCTTGTGGCCATTTCTTTCGAAGAACCGACCCTGCTCGAACGTCCCGCCTCAGAAGAATGTAGGCTGCTACGTGGGTGGTTGTCAAAAATATGGTCCCTTTTTAGGTACCCTAAATATCTGGTGCCGTATTATAATAGGGATCCAAAAAGGGACCATAATGTTGACAACCACCTAGGTCTACGTCACTTTGCCATGGTTTGCCTTCCTCCTTCTTTCAAGCTGGTACTGTTACACGGGGTAGGTAGCTTTAGCCATGTTCCTCCATCCCGGATTCTGGCCAGGGCCTGGGGTCATGCAATACAACTGCCCAGATTGCTGTTGTTGATTTCGAGGTCTTGAATGCATAGGGAAAGGCTGGGAAAAGGTTTGTTGGCATGTAGTAACAGGTTTCCATGTGCTTGTTCCAGTAAGCAACTTCCCTTTTTCGAGCACTTGCAGTCCTGAAACAACAGTACTCACCCAGTAGCAAGCTATACTGCTCCTGGTACTCATAGAGAGACACGGTGGGAAAATCCAACTCACATGAGCGATCATTACCCTGATTGCGTGCTTTGCCTTGAAAGGGGGTATGTGTTACAAAAAAGGGACTCCATACCCCTGCAATGTAAACCAGGGTCTTTTGCCCATATATCAGAATGAAGTCCTCCACAAAGCCATCACCGAAGCGGAAGTGCAGGTGCTAGGGGCCACTTTCTTTCATGGAACTCCGATAACTGCACGCCTGGGCCCCCTTCCGATGACTTCGGACCTGTTCTCTGTTCCTGTTGCATTGTGGGGGACAGCACTATGCCTGTGAGCTGTGGTCCCTTGTTTCAAGCTAGGGCTGTTGCTGAAGGCGAGCTGTGCCGGGGCACAGGCGTTCTCAAAGATCATGGCTCCTCGGCAAATGTGAACCTAGGTCCCTCTTTCTAACAGCTGCTACCCTCGAGTGCTGAAGCCATTTGAGAGTTTGTTTGGGGGGTGCCTTTTGGGGTGCAGCGTCGAATGAGCATTCGGGCCCCTGCTTTGGAGTTGGATTTCATACTTGCGGATTCTGATCGTGACTGGCAGTATTTGACCAATCCCGTGGAAGCTAGGACTCAGAGCACTTCACTGCCCACATTTCGAACAAAACAATGCTCAACAATTTTCCGCTTGACGGGCAAAGCTAGGTGTGTTGTTTATCCTGCTTGACCCCGCATTTGTTCTTCCAAAGGATTCTGAAGTCCAAAGAAGGAGGGTCGGTGTGGACTGGCTTTTCAAGAGTCCCCTGCTGGACATGGGGGCTTCTTGAAAACAGGGGTACATTTTTTGGGGGGGTCCCCATCAGAAGGATGAGAGTACTGGCATTTGTAGTGGGGTCCCCCTTTTTATGGAAACTACCAAATTTCGCCAAACAGGCAGGCCCGCAAGACCCCGTTGAGCCGCCATGATTATTATAGCGCGATGACTTATGACAACCTCATCCATAATAGTGGAGTACATCAAAAGTAGTCCCGGAGCTGGCTCAGTTCAAGGTTCTGAAATGTTTTCAAGACTGTCAGCTGTAAAGCTACGAGATGATTTTGCGAAAGTCCCCAAGGTTCTGCGAATTTAGCATCCCCAGGTGAACAAGCCTTCCAAGCGCAGCAGCTCGGGAACAGCCACTCCGATTTGTTTCATAGCCATTTTTTCGGGGATTTAGCAGTTTGAGAACCTCTTCCGGGACGCCTTTCAATAACAAGTACACCCACCCTCAGGAACCTAAGATCTGATCTGGAAAACAACAGGAGGGTTGGGATTGAAAGTGTCGTGCTGGCTGCGTCTCGCGGTTTTACAGAACACGTCCCATACAGCTCTTTACGCTGGCTTCAAAATTCCCTTCTAATCTCTAATCTATACATATCTCTCTCTCTCTCTCTGTCTCTGTGATGTGTTTATGTATAGTATATAGAGGTGGATGTGCCTCCCTCCCTCCCTCCCTCCCTCCCTCTCTCTCTCCCTCT